GTCTTATCTCCCTTAACCTGCAAGTGCCCTTGCGCTCAGGGTGGGTTTCAGGTGGGGTGAGGCTGCTGTTGGGATCTGCAAATGGGGATGAGTTGCTGCACCCTTCCCACCGGGGAAGCAAACCCGTCTCTGAACACCTCTGGGTCTTGCTCATGAAGCAGGCTGGTCCCACAGGCGCTCACCTGCCCTTTCTGTGGGCTCCAAAAGCGCTTCAGGCCTTCTTGAGCTCTAAACCCGTTTCAAGTCCAAGGGTTCAAGACTTGCCCGCAGGAGTTAGTTACTGGTTAGTAATTTGCACGCTTTCTTCCTGATGAAGCTAGTTCTCTCTGTCACTCCTTTTGTTGTTGTTTTTTTGACTAATTAGGCAGGGGGAGGTAAAAAAAGAAGTCTTGAAGGTCTTCTGGTGAGCTGCCACTAGTGCATGTGGTAACAGCAACCCGCAAAGAGCAGATATCTCAGAGCCAGCTGGGATTATAACAACAAAAAACCACAAATATACAGTCACCAGATCCCACGACTAAACTCTTAAAGCAGGCGAAAGGGCAAGGCTTTGGTCTCACCAAGAAGTGGTAAGAAGAGCCACGGCCACGGTGCTCTCCTTCAAGAGGCATCACAGAGTCAAGTCTCTTCTGGAGTTAGAGAGGAAGGCTGTGGGAAATTAGTGTACGAGAACTCAAAGACAGCCTCTGGGAAGGGGAGGTGATAATTATTTTACAAGCTCTCCAGGCTGATTTTTGCCTACTCACGCTCCCTCTCGTGTGGATTTCTTCAGGCACAGTCTGATACCTGAGTACGGAAAAGCCCCAAGATGTGAGTGTCGTCTGGGCAGGACCACTTGTGTACGACCCAGAAGACAAGCGGTGCTGGCTCTTCTGTGCTCCCAGTGGGTCTTTGGTTCATGGTTGACAACAGATTAGGTTTGGAGCAGATCTTTAAGTCTCTCAGGAGTTAGCAGCTGTTAGGGTGTGGTTCTTACCTGCAGCTGCTGTCCTGGTGTGCCAACTGGAAGAGCAGTGGCATACATTATGTGATGCAGCCTTGCTGCCATGCTCCTGTTGCCAGAGTGGGAGTCTTCCAGTGAGGAGGTGGGCTGTAGCCTTAGCAGAGCAGAGGCTTTCTAGAGTGGATCAAAACTGTGTGTACCTCAACTAGATCAGCAGTATCCTTAGTGATGGATGCAGGCCTGTTTTTACTAACTTTTGTTCAGCTGTTTTTTTCTGATGCTTATGCACAGACATTTTAATTCCTATGAATCTTAGCATTTACAAATTTCCTCAAAATGGCATGACATTTTCTACTTGGCAAGTACCTCAAGCTGTTGTGCAAAAGGGGCAGAGGCAAAGAGAGCTGCTTCAAACAGAGCTTGTTTTTGATGACCAGTAATGAAAGTGGTTCCCGGACTATTTTGCAGGGCATCTTGAAAGGTAGCCTGTGTGTAGCAGACCTAACCTTGCTACCTTCTGACTTTTCTCTTTGTGCTGTTTCTGGATATGATATGAATTGTAAGAAAATGTGTAATTTTATATTCAGGTCTAGTCTTTCAGGCTTGTAATTTGAACACTCAAGTGCTTGAGCTGCTGGAGTGTGAGCCTTTAATCCAATCACAGTGGGAAAGCTTTAGTATATATTAACAAAGATGTCTTTGCCTGGTTACTTAAAATTTTTGATAGTTGGGTCATTAGAACCAGGAAATATGTTAAAGTGTAAAATGAGCTGAGCTGAATTCTTGCAGCATCTGCAAGGACTAATCTCCCATTAGGAGGAGTCTGAATTGGCTTACTGCAGGTCTTTTTTTTTTTTTATGTCTGTCCTGTACATTTATGTACTGGAATAAAAGTGATGCTGTAGTGATTGGGGCAGCTCCTCAAATGTGTGTATGCTTAAACAGTACTGTATATGGTGTGCTGAATGTGAGTCTGCTTGAGAAGCTTACAGTCTTAGCGGCAGTGGTGGGTGCAGTATAGGAATGCTGAATGGAAAATTATTAGTAGAAATAAACCCAAACATTGTTTAAAATATCTGAATGGTTTGCCAAGGGAAGCTTGTGAGATGACAGGCTTTGTGGTTCTGTGGCCATCCTCTGTGTGGGGGGGAAAGGTCTGCAAGCACTAAAGAATACATGCCCATTTGCTGTAGACATCCACATGAATAAGTTAAGCATTTTGAAATAGGCATTGGATTTTTCATTTTGTTGCTTGAGGTGCTTGACAATATGGAGACAACCATGAACCAGGGTGCTGTAGCTGCTGCAGCTTGATTCCACCATTGAGCAAACTGCACATCTACCTAATGAACTCTTTTCATTCTCCAGCAGCTAGTCAGGAGAAGTAGCACCTCAGTCAGTATTACATAGCTTGTTAAGAAACTATGGCAGCCTGATTCTGTTTTGCATTTTAGCTTTAGCAAATGCCTGTGTTCTTCCTTTTCGTAAGGCTTGTGTATAAATCTGTGGTCCAAATTCTTTGTTGGTTTAACTCTAGCAGCTTGGTGGATTTGCTTTGCCAGACTGTTTGGCCTGCAAGTTACTAAAGGTAGTGACTTCGGTTATAAAAGAACAGGGTTTTATTTTACCATGTCTCTACTTTACATGGAGTGTGTCTGCTGCAGAGGGACTAGCCAAAAGTTGAGCTGTAATGAATTAAGAATGGGTCTCTCATTACGAGATGTGTAACCCATCAAGGTCTTCTAATACACTTTATAATTTGCTATTTCTTTATTCCCGCTGCTATCCCCAACTAATTGAGTCTTCAGATGTAACTACAACTGAACAAAGGTTTGTATGTCTGCTTACATTGTCCTTCCAGCTTTTATTTTTTTTAAAAAAAAGCATAGTTGCTGAGAATATCAGAACACCATCACTTGAAAACCTGTTGGCATAGCCTGGAAAACAAGTGGGTTTGTATTTGTTTGTTGTGCAGGCCTGGCAGGATGCTGGACTTGCCCTGTCCACAACGAGCAATGAAGCCTGTAAGCTATTTGATGCCACGCTGAGACAGGTATGACCAAAAAGTGTAAGAAAATGTGATTTGACGGGATTGTGCATGAAACAGTCTTTGCTATAGTTGATGTTTAAATTTCTGATCAGCTGGGAGAGCCTCAAAATTGGGTTGCCACAGGAGTTCAGGCATTATCAGGCAGCAGAAAACCCTTGTAGCAGAGGGCTATGCCAGATGCTGCAGCTGTGCAGAAAACCTCGACCAGCATGCTCATCCTGCTTGACAATGGAGAAGCAACCAGTTGACATAAACCACATAGAAATCCAGGGTTATTAGTTCTGCTGGTGGCCAAACTATCCTAAAGAAAATGGTTTTTCTGTTTTCCTACTGCACTAACCCTATCTGAATTCACTGTTTGTCTTTTAGTCATTTGCCTTGCTTACTTTTGAATTTTAAATGCCCCGGCAAATGAAAAAAAGCCCAATATCATTGGGGATTCCTCGACCCCCTCTCTTTCTGTCTCTTTTACAGTATGCAACCTGGGCCAGTGATGAGAGCCTTGGAGGTATTGAGGGATCTCTCTCGAAGTTAATAGCTGCAGATCCAAATTTTAGTGAGTATAACCTTTAATTACTAATATGGAAAGTGCTGGATAATACCTCATGTCTTGGTGTTTAGCTTATTTTGTTTACACAAGGGGAAGATGGCGGCTTATAAAATTCAGTAAAACTTCTTCAGAATCTAGAGCAGGCTGGGATGGTTTTGCATGGGTTTTTTCTTTTCATTTCAAGTCTTTCTAAAATTATGAAAAGCCTCTAAGAACTTTAAGCTTATGAGACCTTCTGGACCCCTGTGACTTACAAGTCAGTCTTGTTTAAAATAACTCCCTCTCGTGTTTATGTAGAGATGAATGTAATGCTGTACAGCTCAACTTGCGATGTGTTGTTTTCTGTAGCAATGGGACATGTCATTGCTAATGGTTTGCAGCTGATTGGCACCGGAAGTTCAGTGCGGCTCAACAAAGAGCTGGACAGTGCAATGAGAACGATGATGATGCTTTCAAAATCGCAGCCACTGACTGAGCGGGAGAAGCTTCATGTATCAGCGTTGGACATGTTTGCCCGTGGGTATGTCCACTGCTATCCCATTTCAAGGACTGTGAAGAGTTTTAGCTACCTCAGGTGGAAGTGATAGCTGGTAGTAGTGTTGCCGGACATTAGGTGGCATCTAGCAAAGGATCAGGGTGAGATGTCAGTGGTTGTTCTTGAATTTGTCTCTCCAAACTGTAGGCGCCATGACTAGTTAGTGAGCAGCACCATAAGAGGGGGAAGTGCTCTATTGCCACTGCTTCATATCATTAAGCACGCCATGTTTTAAATCTGGCATAGATCCATCAGGGAAATATATGGTTTAGAACTAGGAAACTAAATATTTGAGTATAGCAAGCTCCAATGTAATATAACACAGAATTAATCCTCAGAAGCAAAGCTACAAACAGGCTTTTCTTCTCTCTGTTGTATCCTTGTGTCAAAAGCTATTTCCTCAATAAAATAGGGAGATAGCAGTGTCTGAAGTGCTCTAGAGGCTGACTGTTCCACTCAATATCATGAATTTATGTGCACTGCAGAAAGCGTGGGCTCATGATTCACTTCACGATTTGTTTGTCAAACAGGTGAGCATGGATTTACCTCACTTATTTCTTAACAAAGGTAAAGAGGAAGCTGCTGAAGCCCTGTTACTATGGGTTTGATTCCCACTAGAGGAGAGGGAAGATATCTTTACACATGTGATGTTAGATTAATTATGGTAGGTCTCTATAAAAGCTGTTCAACTTTGTAGGAAAATGTTTAGATTTGTGGTTTAAGCTTGTTTAATTTTCCTTGTGGGTTGCAGTGACTTCTTGTAACCCAAGGACATTTCTTACAAAAAATTTCCCAGAAGGTGGTCAGTGAAGATAATGGCATTATTACTTTAAAAGAGACTAAGAAATTCCTTCAAAGAAAAAAAAAAAAAAAAATTTGATGTTGAATTTTCTATTTTTCAGAATAGCATGAGTTTAGAACTAGCAGTAGAGGCAGGTATGTGAGGCAGGTATGTGTGCCTTCTCTTGGTGATCAAAATAATTTTTTATTTCTAGCCAACTTCCAAAAGCTTGTGATCTATGGGAACAGATTCTGGAGAGCCACCCAACTGACCTGCTAGCCCTTAAACTTTCCCATGACACTTATTTTTACCTGGGATATCAGGAACAGATGCGAGATTCTGTTGCCCGTGTTTATCCTTTCTGGACACCTGACGTTCCACTGAGCAGGTGGGTCATGCGTCATTTTGAAAATTGCTCCTAATCTGGTGTGCAGATACTTTGTGTTTTTTAAGGTCAGACACATCTAAGTAGCAAGATTTGTTGGAAACAGACATGTAGACAAAATCAGGGGTTTAGAAGTGAATCCAGCCTGACTACAGCTAGAACATCTTTCTTGTATCCATGTTGACACTGTTGTTGAGGGTTTTTTCTTAAGTGAGCTGTGGCTCAATTAGTAAATTTTGCAGTCAAATATAACTTTAAAAATAAAACTTTAGGATGTACCTTAACAGCAGCAAAGACTGACAGGAAGGCAGAATTTTTTTAAAAAAATGATTTAATTTAGTCCTGAAAGTTTCAGTTTCTCAAAGTTAATTCAAGATAATCTGAACCTATTGACAAGTGAATAGTTAATAAAAACTAACTTGGGATAATTTTTAAAAAATTTTAAAGACCTGTTAAATTATTTGCAGGCTTTTAACTGTATTTGAAAATTAACTTTAAGTCAAGAGATACATTTAGAGATAGATGAATAGGTGATCCACAGCCAGTTATAACTTTGTGAATATTTTATGACTGTTGCTGTAGACCTATGCACTGTACCTCCATATCCAGCACAATCTTTTCTCCTTTTTTTTTCTTCCACAAACAGTACAGACAATACTAACTGAATACTAACATAATAATGAAGCTAACTGATGTACCCCACAATCTCATGGCACAGAGGGTAGCATCAGGAGTCACATTTTTCCAGCAGTGTTACGTCAACTTGGAAAAATCTAAGCCCCTTAGTTCTTTTCAACTACAATATGCTGGTTTCATTTGTTGGGGAAGTAAGATGACTTAGCAATGTTGACTGCATTTTTATAGACTTTTCTAGAAACAATGCTACAAAAGTACAGGTTGTTGTCCACTTAACTGTAAAACACCAGGAAACACCCACTTGCCAAACAGTTCTTGAAGTATAAAATCCTGGCAAGTGCCCTTTGTTCTCAAACTTTAAAAAAATAAAAAAAAATTTAAAACCCCTCAAATTTTATTAATCTTGATCTGTGAAATAAATCAGTTGCGACATATGCCACGTGATTTAGTAGTTCCTTTGCCTTTGCAGTTTAAAGCCAAAACCCAACAGGTACTTTGAGAAGCAGAAACATATCTTGTGGTGTTTTGCAATCTACAGATCTGCAAATACAATAGCAGTTAAATATTTCTTAAAACAACTGCATCAGGTGTGTGTTTAGGAGTATACAACTTCTCTAATTTTCCTTTACCTTTGGTCTTTATTTCTTAATGGGGATGCTTTGTGACTTTACAATGGTGTTAACCAGTTTTAAAGAGATACTTCATGTAAAAGTGGTCTCCTATAGTTCTCTGGGCGGGCACTGGAGGAAGTGCAGGAGACAGCACTCGTGTTGCCATGGAGACTCTCCCATAACTTTGGTGCACTTTCTTGCTTCCAGCTTTCTAATTCTGTGTCTTGCAACTGTTGAGATCAGTATGTTGTTCTGTGCAGCTCTCAGTTCTGTCTTATCCAAATATGTATATACCAGTTCTCAAAACACTGGTGGTGTGCGTCTTGCTACTGTTATCTCTGGGCTTCTCATTTCCTGTGAGAACTAGCTAGTTGTTCTGTATTCTACAAGCCTGAACCTTCATTGTAACTTGCATTGTAAGGACTGTTTTGAGTTAAACACTATTTCTAGTGTGTTTTTTCAGTCTTAGATTAAATCTAGTTCCAAATGGATGACATGCTGGTTTTTTTCCCCTTTTGCTTAGCTACGTGAAGGGCTACTATGCTTTTGGACTCATGGAAACAAACTTTTTTGATCGTGCTGAGGAGCTTGCCCGAGAGGTAAACTGCCTGTTATTGGAGCTAAAAGGTTTTAGAATTCTTAAACGTGGTTCCTGTCTCTGGGTGGTGGTTTGCACAAATGCCATGAACTGACTCTCTTCATCATCCCAATTGTTAGTAGAAGTAGCAGAGAGATAAAGCTCGGTGTGGAAATACTCAGTTTCGTAACAGACTGCTGATAACTATTCCTTAGAAAGATTCCCACGTCTATGCCACACCATGACAGTTTCATCTTGACTGTGTTTCCTTCACTTGCTTATCAGGATGCCTTGTCAGATGATGTCAAAACACCTGTGTATAACCCATATATTATCCCATCTGCTGTTTCCCCCATATATAATTGTCTGTTTACTCCTATTAAAGAATGTTGGATTGGTTTGATGTAATCTGCTCTTGACAATCCATCCTGTTTGGGTTCCCCCTCCCTTTTTTCCCAGATGCTTGTTCCTGGATTATTGAACAATTAACTGTAGAATGTTCCTGGGGATCAGTATTAACTGGCCTGTTTCCTTTTTATGAAGATAGTAATTACACTTGACTTTCTCCAGTCCTCAGGATTATCCCTGTCCTCCAGGAGTCTCAAATATAATTAATCTCTAATGGGTTTTTTTTGCCAAATTTCTGTTAACATTAACTTGCTGAAAGTGACAAGGCTAAATGTTAACATTTAACATTCTAATGTTTAACAAAAACTAAATGTTAACATTTTACCTCATAAAATGCCTAAAACCTAGTGGGAGTTGTTGGAGCAAGAAAGAGGAATTTGTTGGCTGTGTTCTTGCAGAAGAAATGATTACCTGCAAGGCACTATGTCATGGAATATATTGTGCCTGTGCATGCAATTCTTTCATGGCTGATATTGATGCATGTCTGTGAAATAAAATGTGATTTGATAATCTTCATCGAAGCCTGCATTTTGAAGTGTTTTGCAGGTGTTCGTCTCTATGCAGTAGGGGTATTTTCTTCCTTTTCTGTCCAAATCAAACTTCATGCTTGTGGTTAGTTGGAATGGTACAGGGATGTACTTAACATGCAGGAAGTAAAAAGTAGTCTCTTGTTTCTATATCAGCAATGATAAATATTGTTATTTGCAAGTTTGTAAGCTTCATCATGTTTTCCCTTTTTTCACTCATAGGCTTTGGCTATAAATAAAACGGATGCGTGGTCTGCTCATACTGTAGCTCATATAAATGAAATGAAAGCAGAGGTGGAGAAAGGGTTAGAATTTATGAAGGAAACAGAAAACAACTGGAAGGTAAACATTCTTGTAGCATCTCTGAATCGTCTTTGTCTCCTCCCGCCTAGTTCTTGATTCCTCTGCATGCAGTTCCTTTCTATCTGCAGACATGTTACAAGCACTGCAAAGTCTACATGTTAGAAGAAACCATCACTTAAGGTGCTGTTATTATCCATGCTACTTTTGGAGCAAGAGGCAGGGAAAAATGACATATTAAGAGAGACACATAATGTGGGCCACTTTGAGTCGGCATTACTATGACTGCTGAGATTACAAAAACGGCAAACGTTTAGGTAGGCTGGGAGTCGCACAAAGTCTGTCCTCTCTCACTGCCTTGCTTTAGCTAGGAATATTGTAACAGGTATGTGGCTTGTACATGCATGTGTACACCCTGACTTCGCCAAGTTTCTTTTTCCTGGTGGAGCTGATTAGGTATTTTACATCTCATAAAGACATGGCCATTGCAGACAGGTGAAACATCACATGTGAAAATTGCGATTTATTGATATGTGACTTATTGTGTGGTTATAAAAGTAAAGTGACCACTGATATTGTCACAAGCTCTTTGCTTAGACTGAGATGAACACTGAGAAACAGTTGAGGAACCTGACTAAATCTCTTCACGGCAACGTAAGATGGGGCGTGAAATGACAGTCAAATCAAATGTTTTAGGAGACTCAAAAATATTTGTTTGCTTCTGGATGGGGAAAGATTTGTAAAGGTCAGTTGTAAAGAAAAGAGAAATGATGCTTTTGTCTCTCTTCTGGTGTACTGAAGTTACTCAAATATGCTGGATATATAAAGTATCTCAGAGTACTGAACAGGTTAGGTAGTCTGTTATATTGGCCCTTGCTGTAAGTGAAACTTAACTTTAATTTGTGTTGGACAGCACATGTTTTCACTGTGATTAAGTATATTCAGAGCAGACAGCTGTGAGGTATGAATTTGTTAGAACCCGCAAAAGTCTATTTTAGAGTCATCTAAGCTGACCATTCCTTCTCACCCAAAGAGCAGGGCTAGGTAATGAGGCTAGAAGGACTGTTCATTTTGTACTTTTTTTTTTTTTTTTTTTTGAGTTAAGCAGTCAGATACTGAGCTTGGAAGTGCAGGTGGAAAACCTTTGCTTGAGGTTCATATCTGTCATTTTCCAGAAACCATTTTGTCCTTTTTTATATTAGTTTTAATGAAACACTGGTGCAGGGGACTGACAGTTTGGATGATGCCTTAAAAACCCCTAGTCAGTGATTTTTGGATTGACTTTGGAACTCTGTTTCTAAAAGAGTTGTATGCCTCTGTGATTTATACCCTTTATCCAAAAAAAAAAAAAGTGAAGATAGTAAGTAGAATTGTCTAATGTACCTTTGTGCCTGACCCAGTATAGTTAAGATTTATAACAGTTGTCATTGTCATAACAATAGTGTGTATCATCACTTCTTTTGTGCACTATTTTTCATCTTAAACATCATGAATCTTAAACTGTGAGCACATGAGAAAAAGCAGGGCTCTCTAAGGGCTATATTAAAGTTGCTTGTATTTGGCCTGGTGATGTGAAATTTTTACTTATTGTCTTTTAATGACCAGATCATCCATCTGTCTGTCTGTACTGCCACAGTATTCAGGCTCTTTCTGTTGCTTTTAATTAATCTTCCTCCTTCCCAATAGGGAAGAGTTGCAAAGACATTGTACAGGTCTTCTTTACAGAGTAGTTTGTTGTTGTTGTTGTTCCACTGCCTCCCCCCAAAAGCAGATGCCATTTTTTTAAATGTATATTTCAGCACAAAATCAAAAGGGGCAAATTATCTTACCAGAGGGACCTCTCTGCCAGTGCTGTTTATTTTTAAATAGGAATGCTTTTTCTTGTTAGCTGTCAGAATGAGTCCCGATAGCCTGGTTTTATTTTAGTAATTTGCAAGCCCGCTTCTCCTTTAGCAGTTTAGTCTAATTCAGAACTCGAAATCAGCAGCAGGAAAAGGATTTTGGTTTATTCAGTGAGGTAATCCTATGTTCTTGTTTGTATGACACTTGGAACTGTAGTATGGTATTAAATTTGGTATCAGGCTTACGCCAAGCACTTAGCTACTTCAGTTGCTCGGGTTTGGTTTGTGGTCAAATATTAAACAAGTAAAAATTACCAGAATGTTTATCTTAGCACCATAAAGTTCTGACATTCACTGTCAACTTTCATGTTTCCTGAAAGTGCGTGTTACTGTTGTCACCATGAAATTGTAGATGCTTTTTCCACTTGCGAGAACATTAAGTTTAACCACAGCACTGGAAGAAAACAGGAGGAGAGGGACAAACCTTTCTGGTATTTTAATTTTCACCAAAGGATTATGGAATTATTTTTTTGTTTGTCTGTTCTCAATGCAGTCACAAAAATGAACTGCAATGACAGTGCAGGCTAGGGAAGAGGATGTGAAGTTCTGGTGCCAGCTGAAAAGGACGGGCAACAGTCCAGCAGATATTAATCTAATCTGATGAAATGCCAATGTGTTTGGTATCTAGTTTGGTTCTGTAGTCCATAGTAAAACATATGTTTAAGAAGTCATTCTTTTCTGTCTGAGGTGTATAGATGGGTAGGATGAATGGCCCTCAGAAGGTATCTCTCTCCACTATCTATCTGGGTTACTTTAGACAAGATGTCTAAATTTTAGGTGAGAGAAATCTTACTCTTATTATAGATGTGGGGTTTTTTCCTAAGGAGATAAAGTGCTGCAGAAGGGTGAATTCTGAGGCATCCAAGAGAGATTCTTCTCTGGAAAATGACATGGAGGAAACCTTGTTTTTGAGGTGTCTCCTTCAATAGCTGCAAGGACAAATGTATCAAATGAGAAGGTATCCTGGCCAGCTGATTTAAAGTTCTTGTCTCTTCTGTCTCATGAAGTACTCAGTTTTGCTGAAGAAGGAAGCAGAAATCTGTCTGCATAGGTTTTAATGGAAAGTTATTTAGTAAATAATATTTTCTCTCTTTTTTTTTTTTTTTTCTCTCCAGAACAGTGATATGCTTGCTGGCCATAATTACTGGCACTGGGCTTTATACTTTATTGAAAAGGTATGAGATATTTTCATATGAGTGTTTTATGGTCCAGATAGGTTATTCATCTAATGCTATTTAAAAGGCAAACCTAACATTTTTTAGGGGTTTTTTTTCAGCTATTTCAAGGGATGTTTTTATAAATAGCACAATGCCATTTTTACAAGCTAGTCCTTTATTACAGTTATTTTGAGAAGTTTTAATAACCTTGGTCAAAGCTCCAGGATCTTTGTTAGAATGTTGAAAAATTGCTGTAAGATTATTGTGTGTTTGAAGATCATAGTCTCACTAATTACACTTGGCAGTTATTTGATAGAAAGATGAACTTGGATCTCCAATTTTCAGACAAAAATTAGATTAAATTCTCTTCAAATTCAATACTAATTTGCTAGCCCAAAGATCCTCTGACTATAAGAAAGAGGCAGTAAGCTCTAAATTTCGTCACCAATGTTATTAATTACTAATGCTACTAATTCTTGTCATTGAAACGCTTTAAAAATGGTTGCAATTTTACCCAACCTGTCAGGTTGCAATGCAGAATTTCCTTGGATTTAAGAATGCCTAGCACTTGTGGGGTTCAGTTCAATAGGAAGACAAATATGAGTGACATCATTGAGAAGGCAGTGTGCTTTGGCCACAAAACAGAGCAACTTACTTGTGTTCAGTGTTATTAACATAGAAGGAGCACAATTCTCAATGGTAGTCTAATAGCTTGTTTATTTTTCCACCATCTATCTATACAACTTTTTGTAGCCTACTTAAATTTGTTTTTCTTCCTACCTCTTTGTATACACTGTGGAATGCACTAATTTGGAAAAATCCCTGAAAGGAACATTAGAATGTCTTTTTCCCCCATGTGTAACTTATACCTGTATTGGTACCTATTATGAAATGAAACCTAAACATACTGTTGATTTTGCCTAGTAAGTCCTTGTTTATCCTAGGCCCCATTCTTCTTTTTAATACCTCAAAGTTTCTTTGACTCAGTTTGTTTTGATCAAGTCATGAGGCAGTTGTGAAGTACTGTTATGACATCTATTAATTGTATGTATGTTTTTGGTTGCTACCAGTCACTTTTTTGGTTACTGTATCTGAATGCTAATCATGCAGTCCTTGTTTGCTTTTACAGGGTGAATATGAGGCTGCTTTGACGATTTATGACAAGCATGTGAGTAGGGGCTGTTTTTTTCTTTCCTGAGAATGTCCTTTAAGAGTGTGATGCATGTTTTCTTCCTTCTGTGTGAGATTATAACCTATTGCAGTGTGCCGTATATGTATATATATTATTTACAACTGTTGTAGCAGTTTTTTAGGGAAACTGTTTCTCAACAGTTGTGGGTAAAATGCTCAAAAGACTTAAAGTGTTTTGTACACTTGTGCTTGAAAGAGCTACAGTGGCACTGTTGGTGCTGTTTTCCATTCTGTCCATGTTTCTTCTTCATGCTTTTTAAAAGGATGTAAAATAATTTTCCTATAAAGTCAAGTTACCTTTAGAAAGAACTGCTTTTGCATGTTAGGTACTAAGTCAACAGAAGCATGTCTTTTCATTCCTAGTTAATTTATTATAGTTCTTTACTGTCTGGATTTCAGAATAATCTTTGTAAATGAGTGCTGTTAAATTAGATAGGATAATACATCTTTGTAAGGAGTATAAAAATAATGCAAGCATGAAGAAAGCTGCTGGGCAGACTCCTATCTACTAACTTTGGCAAAGTGAAGTAATATTTATGGCACAATTTTGGAAAAAATAAAACACCTTGGTGACCCTCCATACTTACTGAGTTTAACTTCATAACAGGAAAAACAACACAAATGAAGCCATATAAATGTTTGTCATTGCAAACTGCTGTGTTCAGGAAAGATGCAATTAGGGCTATTGTGAAACACGTAATTTTGAATTAATAAAAAGAGAAAACTAACTTTGTTCTGTGAAAATAAGTTTGATTATCTGAATAAGTTCCCACTAGTACATCAGTTGGGCAGCTTATGAATACCTGTGATTACAGATCGCTCCCCGGTGCCTGTTGAGTGGAAGCATGCTGGATATAGTAGATAACTGTTCGATGCTGTACAGGCTTCATCTGGAAGGTAGGATATCCACCCACCGTTGTTTTTTAAACAATAAGGGGAACAGTTTTTGCCTCCCCCTTTCCCCTGCCTTGCATGTTGGAGAAGTATTTAAAGATACTTTCAGAGCAAGCTTGGTCAGTGTTACAGAACAAACCTTCTCTTGCAGAAGAAAATTCTGTGCTTGAGAAAAGCCTCTGTGAAATTCCCAATAATCTGTATAGCCTTTATTCTTCCCAAGAACTTTTTTTTGTGCGCCCTCCCCCCCCCCCCTTTTCCCCCCCCCCCCCCCCCCCCAATGCCAGTGTGGTATTTCATTCAGCTCAGGCTAGCACATATATTTCTCTTTTGACAAATTGACTTCTATTGTCCCTGGAGGCTTAACAGTAAACAATCAAGTACATAAGCCTCTAAAAAGCTGTAGAGCTTCACTGAGGTAAATTTCAAGTTAGATACTTAACTTCCTGTTTTTATACTGACTGAAATAGCTAGTACACATATATTAGCCTTTTGTGTACTCTCCTAACTAAGTGGCATTTCTCCTTTTTAAAGCTGGTGTTTATACACTAGAGTTCATGAAGGTAGAGACACACACATGCTATTTGCACAGTGTTCTGCTAAAACACTAATGATGCATTGGGTTTATTTATGAAATCCATCTAATCACTCTGTATAATTTGATTGCTACAGGCGGTTCATTATGAATATCATCTCCAAGAAGATGTGAGCAATCTCATCATATAGCCAGAACCTCACATAATGCAATCTAGAATACTGGTGATAAATTACTGACAGTCAATAAACTCTTTGCCCAAATATGGCAGGCTGCAGCTGAGCATTGCTGTATAATTTTTTCCATATCAGGGAATGTTTTCTTGAATTCAGTAGCAATGTTTTTTATGCTGGATTATTGAAAGTATATTTCAAAGTCATGCTTTTGCATGTGGTATTTTTATTGAGAAAAATATTTTTTACTCAGGTGTAAAGCTTGGAGACAGGTGGAACAATGTCTTCAAGCTTACAAAGAAGCACACCAAAGATCACATTACACTGTTCAATGATGCACACATCTTGATGTCCTCCCTTGGAGCCAAAGACCACAAAGCTACTGAGGAGCTTTTAACAACTCTTCGGGAACTTGCCAAGTAAGCAAATGAATAAAAGTATTGTATTCAGTAAATATTTTGTCCTCTGAACTTCAGGGTGGTAATGTTTCTGGCTTGCTGAAGCACTACAACACATTCGTCTCTGCTTTAGTATGTTACTGGGACATGTCTGGTTTAAGTAGGCCAGTCTTCAGTTAGGAGATCCCTATAATTTATTCTTTTGGGTTAATGTCTAGCAGGTTTTCTAATCTTGTTCAGCAGACATCTCTTACGTTTGAGGTCATGGACACTAACCAAACAGTTGCTGTATAGTTCCTTTCAATGGTTCACACTAAGCTCTGTTACATACAGTGAGCGAAGTATTTCACCTGTATATTAGTAAGGGCATTCTACAGTATATGTCAGCTATCTATGGTGGTTCTTTTTTGCTCTGGTTTAAAAGGCTCTTTCATAATAGAGCATTAGTTGGTAGTGACATTCTAATAGCTACTGTTTGATGTGTTGTGAAGTGCATCTTCAGGAAATTGAATTTCAAGTACTGCTAAAGTAATAATAGAGAATATTTTGCTTTCAAATCAAGTTATTTGAAAAAATTTGAATATTTAATATTTCATCTAAACAATGTTTTGTTCATGTTCCCTTATGTATTAAATGACTGTAAATTGCCTTGATTTTTTGAGGGAGTTGGTGTATGGATGCTTTAAATGCAATTTCTTCCACCACCCTGTTTTTCCTCTGTTTCAACATCTGTTGCGTCCTTTGCCTTTAAGAGGGAAGGAGAACCTGAAATTGTCACTTTTTGTTCCTGACTATAATATCCATCAATCAAAAATAATAAAAAATAAGTGTAATTTTTAAGAATACTTACAAAAAAAATTAACTGTCAAATCAAGCCTAAACATGTCGTACTTGACTAAAGTAGGAAATGGCAAATATCTTTTATATAAGTACATAAATGTATGTAAGTATAGGTCAAGGATATAAAATTGCACATGCAGTGCCACCTCGGGGAAGCTTTAATGAATGCTGCCTATCCTTTCACCTAGTGCTTCCTTTTGCCTATGTGTTCAGCCTTTTGTGGTAATAAAGCTGCACATTTTTAGCTGTAGTTTGAAGTATTATCAAATTAATTTTATTATTTGAGAAAATAGACTGTGAGGTAATGGGATTTATGTTAATGATTGGATTAATGGATTAATCTATGTGTATTGCAAATATGTAATAGCTAAATGATACCTAAGATGCATTTTGTGTTTGTTAAAAAAAAAAAAAAAAAAACAATCGTAAAACTTTGCCACAAACAACAGTCATTCTTGGCTTTTCATTACTGTGTTCACCTACCCTTTGCAATTTAAAGTTGTCAAGAGGTTTTTTTTGTGAAGTATTCCCTGGTGCTCTCTGGCGGTTGGTATCACATGCTTATTTTCATGGATGGAAATGTTATTTAATGCAAGGGTTATTTTGTTTTTCATGAATCAATACTTCAGATCAGCTGCAAGAGAAAGGAAGAAGAAAATCAGTCTTCCATCTCTATGCATTTTCTCAGACAGCTGGAACAAATGTTTTAAATGAAGAATTGTGTCATTGTTTTCAACATTAACTTCCTCAAACAACATCCGTTGTGCCTTTCTAACTTTCCAGGATGCCATGTTCTGTTTAAGGAATGATAAACACATGGGGCAACACTGCATACTGAAAAATCAACACTGACCTAGTGGAAAAAATGGGAAATCTATAATACTGACTGAAGAATGAGAGCACAGAGTATGCTCTGTGTTTGGTAATTTTAAGGTACTAGTGTGGGAGTGTGACTCTCAGCTGTCATTACAAGCACTCAAAACAGAAGCCAGTGATTAAAGTTCCTCAATGTTAAAGATTTAATTGGAAAACTTCCAGAAAAATCTGTTGTAAATGACAGACAAAATTTATAGTATTGAACTGTGCATTGTATTCTCAGGAATAATTTATATTACTTGGGATAGAAAGCCCTCCTCTCCTCGTATTGCCAACCAGCATTTTGGCACTGAAATGACACTACCTCCAAGGCCTGACGACTGTCAGCTCCTTCTGTAGCAGAGGAAAAACACAATTCCACATTGTCCCATGCAGGTGTTGCCTATAGACCAAAGGCCTACAGTGTGCTTACTTGTATTTTTACTTCTTTTTTTTTTTTTTTTTTTTTTTTTAAATTTTGGCAAGGATGCCTGCTAGAATGTATGCTTTCTTCTGCAGGCATATTGTCATGTGGTATGCCTCTTCCATTCTTAGATGGGTTAGGATGCAAGCACTAAAAAGGAAAAAAAATTATTAAGAGCTAGCTAAAATCCATTGCTGTTTATGGGCCTAAGACCAGTCTGTCATGGTTAGAATAAGAAAGCAGACTTTAAGAGCTGTGGTATGGAATACAGTTTACATTACAAAGATGGCAAGGCACTGCGCTGTGTGGCAAGCTGTTTTGCAAGATTATTATTTGGAGCTGTTTGCAAGGGACTGATTACCACGTTTGGCAGAGATTAGAACAAAGAACTAGCAGTAGGATGTTCTGGTGAGATCATCAGAATAGAAACATGCAGTTTCCTCATTTTTTCTAGTCAAAACTGTTTCTTGTAAAGGTGGGAGGGATTAGGCTTGTGCCTTTTGTGGGTATATTCAGAAGAATGAAAACTGATTGGTTGATGAGTAACAAAAAGGTTAAAGTAACATAACCACACCAAAATATATTATCTAAATAAAGTACCTGAAACATCAAGTTTATGTACAGTTAAAAAAAAATTCTGTCTGCAGCCAGTGACAGACTGGCACTGAAATACACATATTTATAATTTGACTTATGGGAGTTAACCACTTTCTTGTTCTGCAGAACACCTTCTGAAGACCATGAGCTTTCCCTGGCTCCCAGTTTGGGGTTGCCACTGTGCCAGGCTTTTGTGGAGTTTGAAAATGGAAATTGTGATAAAGCTGTAGACCTGCTGTACCCAATCCGTTATCAACTGATCCAAATAGGAGGGAGTAATGCTCAGGTAAAGGAGATCTATAAAAGACTTTCTGATGCGACTTAATCCTCTTTCAATAGCCTCTGTTAGGCACTTACATTATTAATGACACTTCATTCTTGGAAAGCGAAAAGCTAAACTGTGCTTGTGACTGAATCCTGTCTGGAAACTCTAATAATAAGTTTATAAGTTTTAATAGTGTTAGCTATTTAATTTTTCTTGTCAATATGTTTATTTCCTCAGTGGTTTTAATAATTTGGTAAACACGACATTATAACCAGCAATACTTTATAAGTTACTTATTACTTTGTATTTTTGCTGTCTTCTTTTTTTCAGAGAGATGTTTTCAACCAGTTATTGATTCATGCTGCTTTAAATTCTAAATCACAAGCCAAAAAAAACCTTGCAAGGTGAGTATTTTTCCTGATAAATATTTGTGGAAGTAGTACTGTTACTAAAAGTAAGACGTAGTGAGTATTCTCAAACCAATAAATTAAGGCTAAAAATATGCATGAGCATTTAGCCATATTGAGTTCTGTTGAAATGTATTGACTGGGTGTGCCTGTGCACTGAAAAGAATGGATCCTTGGGACAATATGAAGCCTTGCCTCTTCCCCTCCTGAGGTCTCTTTGAACTATATAAAAATTAGATAAAATATCAGAATTATTCTTCTGGGCACTCTGATCTCTGGGTGCTCATTTTCAGTCTCTGTCAGTGCTGAAAAGGATGCTGTTCTGCCTAAACTTGCTGCCAAGGCCAAATAAGGGAAAGGTGCTCCTCAAGGGCAGATCTTTAGGTACTGTTTTCTTCCTCTTACAAGGATATTGCTGGTGATCTTAGGGGAAAACTGATGCTGTACTCATGACTTTCTTCCTGTTTCTCTCCTACCTCTCCTCCTGTCTCAGGTGCCTCCTGAGAGAACGTGATATGATGAGACCAAATTCACCATTGACGGAGCGACTTATGAGGAAGGCAGCATCTGTTCATTCAGTGGCATAAGTCTTTTCTCTGTGCTTCAGCTGAAATGGCAATAAGCTTACCAATCAAAGTCGGGGTGCAGGGAGTGGAGGGATGCTATGCTCTGAACCATGCTAGAGATTCACAGTAGGTAAGAGTACCCTATGAGTCAGAGATCTGATGATGATTTCCTTAAAAAAAGAAAACCAAAACAGCTGTTGTTTCAGGAGGCTCTGTCTTAGATGATTACCCAAAGAAATAAGGGGGTAACCTGCTGATAATGCACAGTTTTCTGAAGCATCCCAGGACAGTGCTTGTCTGGTATATGTTCCTGAAAGTTCCCTCTGAGCCTGATTATATACAGTACAGTAACAGTGCCTGGATTTCAGTCATTCATTGGCCCAATTTGTTACTTCATTAATATGTTAAATAGTCAGTAAACTGCTCAGGTAATGCAAATGCACATTTTAAACATTGCTAATAGGAAAATACGGGGCCAAACCCAATAGAGGCATAAACTGAATTCCATATCAAGCTTCCAGTTCATTCAGACCTGAGTCACAGACTCTGGCGTTACAGATCTGTCTGTGTTCAGGATCTCTTTCCCAGTGCATATTTTTAAACTCCTCCTCCTAAAATGTTAAACTTTTTCCTTTTAATATAGCACCTCAGCGCTTTCTGGAATTACTGTATGAATTAAACCAGGCAAGAAGGATAATAGCTGACTGTGACTATTCTAATGCAGGTACTCCCTTGCCACTTTTAAATCTTTCAGAAAAAAGAAAAAGCCTGGAGTTCAGCTAAAGCAGTGCCACGTCTGAATGTAAGTTTAGACTGGCACCTTTGTGCTTACCTCAGCTTTTGAAAAGTCATGCCTTACTACTGTCTCAATAGCACAAGTCCTACATATTAGCGAAGTAGAGTTTGAAACTAGTGTTAAAGCTACTCTACTTTATAGAGGCATCTCAGAGCAGGTGAAGACTGGAAGGGAGCTCCCCCTTGAAAGAGAGCGAAGGGGAACTGACACAAAGCTTTCTCCCGGCACAAGTGACTTAGCAAGCTTTGGTGCTGCAACTGAGGTACAATATGAGCCATGTACCTCTATGAAGTTCTGGTATCTCTGGGTTCGTGCATCATAGCAAAGCTAACAGATTGTCTAGCCACAGTAATCCAGAAATCCCTAGTGAAGATATTTCAAACCAAAACTGAATTTCTTCTTCCCCAATAGAAACATCACCCTCTTCAGCTGCCCAGGCTCAGGCTGGGCACACACATGCCTGCCTCTCCTTCCTGTCCAGCTCAGGCTCTTCTCCATGTCCCACAGCAGTCCTCTCCCACATACAGTTTCCTTCTGACGTAAAAAAGCACTTTCAGAGCTGGCCCTGCACTGCTCTGGGGGTTCCTGTGTAGAGGAATATGGCGTGGAAGTGCCTTGCTGCCACCCTTCCTCCCCCAGCCCTCACTTGAGGAAAAAATAGTTTATTTTTAAATCAGTGCTAATTTGTGAAACCAGATAAGGGTATTGCATCCTTGCCTACAGCCTTTTGAATCCTGTGGAGAGTCATAGTTCTGTTCTCCAGCTTTATCAATGCTTTATCTGCAATTTTCTTACACTGTACTAAAGTTCTAGATTTTTACTATTATTTTTTAATCAGTGCATTTCAAGCAATGACTTTAGACAGGCAACGTTTTACTCAAGGAATATAAGAAATCTTATTAGGGAACAAAAGCCTGAGAAATCTGCCGGGTGTTCATGAATTATGTTTTTTTATATGATCTATTGCTACACACATTTAAGAATGAAATTTGTGGTATTTCTTTTAATATAATGTGATTTAGAATTTTGACTGCTTTACATCAATAAAGTCAGTTGAGCAGCAAGTGTATTACTTCTTTGCATGTATGGATGAAGCGTTTAAATTGCTTATTCAGCTTAAATTCATAAACTTGTAACAGTATCCATCCTCTTTGCTTCCATGAATGTCACTAAAAGCTTTTTCATTCAACAACTACTACACCTTTTGCCATAAATGAGTAGTTCTGGTTTTCTGCCTTATCTTCCCCTTTTTATCTAAAATGCTCTAACTGTTCTTTCTGTTCAGTCTTTCTTGCTTCACCATGCTATGGTGAATCGTTTTCAGTTACCATTATGGAAAATAATTAACAAGCAGGTAGCTCAGTGGGAAGAACACTAACAGGAAGAAGAACAAGCAGAGGAAGAGCTTCACTGAGGACCATGCTGACTCGTAAAGGCTCCCCTTCTGCAGAGCAGTTGAAAAGCAGTTGATACAAACTTGTTATCTGCTGCTTACAAGAGAGATTATGGGTTTTGCACAGGCTGTGCATGCTTGCTTTTGTTCTGTCTGCCACTCCCTTTAAAGTTAAAAAGCCATCTGCCCCAGCCTCCACTGCACTTCTTTTTCTGGATTAAGAGGGAGAGAGGCAATAGTCCTTTCTGCTGTGCATCAGAATTTGAGCCTGGGCAGCACCTCCCCTGCCAACGTTACATCAGGAAACATCTACTTTTAACTTTGTGGGTATTTTTCATGATCCCCAGAGTGGCTGCAAGGGCAATAGCCCCCACTCTACAAGCCTTTTCTGAACTGTGCTGAGGCCACGTACACTATCAGCTCAGTTGCCTCTGTGGCTTCTTCAGCACGAGCTGTTTCTTTAGCTCAGTGCAATAGAACAGGGAGTTGATGATGTTCTGTGGGACTTTGCTGGCAGCATTGCTGCTGTAGTATTTGTAACAATTCTGTTAACATCAAGGAAACTGAACCAAAAGGGTATTTAGATAGTCGTTGCTACAGTGGGTCTAGCTTTTAGGACCTGTTAAAAGAATTGTTAAAAGACCTCTCTGGTTGAGACTATTAATAAAACCTAGAGTGATGATTTGTGTTAGATATAGGAGACTGCTGTGAAAGCACAGGTGCCACCCATCATCTAAGGCCTTGCCTAGGTTCCTGCCACTCAGCCCCAAAGCCCTCCAGTGCTACAGCTTCTTGGTTTTGTTGGTGAAGAAAAATGTATCCCAGTGGATCATGACCAACTACGGTAGCAGGTACATTTTGTTTGCAAATCAAGACCAATTTTATTAACCCAGGATGAAGCATGGCTTCTAAAACAAGTTTTCCACTCCATGTTTTCCTGATAAAGGCATACATCTAGATATTTTCAAATACAAAATAAAGGCCCCAGTTGGCTGCAGGAACTGCTTAAAGTAATTGCTGCTTTAACTTCTTTGTATGCATAGCTACTGACCCAACCTTTAGAGAGAATATTGTGCCTACCTGTATACAGCCACCATGCAGTCTTAAAGGCTGTGGAAACAGTGAACGAGCTTGTTCTGATGCCTCGAGTCTTTTTCCCTGCAGCTGCCTTGTTTTTGGGATGTAAGAACCCAAGAGCAGCTGTGCCGCAGAGCTGCACATTTCACAGCTTCCACATCTTCAGAGCTGGCGCCAGCGTAGCATCTTTTTTTTGCTGAGGCTTGAATGTGCCAGGAAGTAAAACAAAGCCCCAGAGCCTTGCAGGGGCTAGGGAACTGTGCTCACACCATTCCATTTCACACATACCTCAAAACACACTAATACTTGAAGGGTTTGGGGCGGGGTGGAGGGAGGAGGCACAACTAACATGACCAGCTGACTGCCAGGATTGCATCTGGCCTACACTTTCCTGTAAGCAAACTAGCTGGTTGGCACCCCTGCTGACAGGGGTAGAGACTGAAAAAAATTATGTTGAGCAGTAAAATGCAACAAGCTTGGTAAGAATTTTTTTCAATGCTCATAGCACATAACAGATATTTTGTGATATTATTCTGTAAACTGTGACTTGAAGCATGAGAAGCAGTTAGTTTAAAGACAAGAAGCAAAAGAAGGCATTCAGGGGTCAAGCACAGCCATATCTGTGCTCATGAATAGCCTTTATAATGCTGTGCCTAAAAGAAGGTGAAGTTACTGGATTAAACATAGAATGTGCCCTTAGGAAATGCATTTTTAGCCTCTTCTGAGCAAGCTTGTTCTGCATTTATTGAACTCCCTGAAAGCCATTAATCACATTATACTGTAAGGCTAGTGTTATGAGGCAGATACAGCAGGGCACTCATAACTTTTAGCCAATCCAGAAAGCCAAGAAAAGCGTAATCAGTGACAAATCGAAGTGCTATTATCACATGAGCTATTTAAGACAAAAAAAAGGTCCACAAGTGGCAGTTTTAATCAGCAGTGCTAGGCTTCTGCTCAGTCACTAGGAATGAAAAAAAATTACTCTCAAAATTCTGACGGTTATAACGAAAACACACTTTGATTTGGTCTTACCTTCAAGCTGGCTTGTAGCAGCAACACCTGGAACTATAATTCAGCCCAGTGGCTACACAGCTGCCACACAAGCCCTTTTGCATTTCCTCTCGTATACGACGCCTTTCGCCAGGCTCAAAGGGCAGAGGAGCCTGAGGCACATGTGGCACTTCGCTTGCACAGGGTTTTTCTTGGCATCAGTTAGGAAGAGGTTGAGGTGCTGGGAGGTGGGAGATCTATTTCTTTTTCTTTTTGCTCCATCCTCCTGCATTCAGAGTGGGGTTTTTGTTCTAGCTTTCTTTCCTCTTCAGCTCAGTTACCCAGACTGAAATTCTTTTCTTCCTTCCTTCCCCAGAGCATCTCCCATCTACAGCCCAACCTCACTGCTGATCAAATAGCCAATGTCCTGTGCACCACAGAGTGGTACCCACCTGGCAGCATTTCCTGCCGTACCTGCATGGAAGTGCAGTCTTGACAATGTGAAGCACAGCACTGGAGTTCATTTCTTCCCTTGTCCTACCTCCAGATTTTGCAGTTTGGACTATTTCTAAGTTGTCAGCACCTTACTGGCATTCTCCATATACTTGCCTGTCTTGTAGCTTACAGGGCTGGGGGGAAGTGCAACAGTGTGTCTTACAGGTGCTTAGTTCAGATTTTTTAAAAGTTATTCATCTAAATAATCCAAAAAGAAGATCCTTAGAGTAAGTCAATACCTGATGACTTCTGCATATTAAAACCAGTAGTTCTCCTACTACTTCACCTCATTCTTTTCCCTTACTTAGGGACTTTAACAACTGCTCAGATCAGCTGTTTAATTACATGGAATACAACCAAACTACCACAGTACTTAATATTAAAGGTATCTTAGTTAGGAATTTTATTTACAGACATATTCTCCATGAATCAGACTGTGTTCTATCCTTCATACTTAGCTAAGCATCTACACTAAAATGCAAATCTACATCCACTGCAGTTCCCCAGTTTAAACCAACAGATGAAGACACTGGGTGCATGTATTAAGTGGCTAGTTCACTAGGTCTGCTTAGTTGTGCCATAAATTTACATAAGGAGACAAACTGCATACTTAAGCAGAAAGTGAGTGAAAACACATTTTATTTGCAAACATGGCAAAACTCAATTATTTAGGAAGTCTACAGGCAAACGGAAGTGAGACAGATCTTGAAAAGTGGTAGAATCTTACTCTTTTAATGCATTACTGATGCATGTTTTCATTTGGTTCTAAGACAGTCATTTTAATAAGATTTCCTAGTTTTATATATTTCCCCGTCCTCTTGGTAACTTGCAAACTTTGAGTAGTACATGTGATTGACAGCTTTGTATCAAAGATGCAAATAACTGTGAGGCTATTCGTGTTACTGTAAAAGTTATCTGAAAGTAAAAATTACTGCTCCTCTGTCTTGAGCAAGTTTCCCTCTTAACAGCTAGACTGCCTGAATGAGGCATCTTTGTAAGAGGGTCTTCAGTTCAATTAGCTTACGAAGTCTGTATTAAAATTTAGTAGAAATTCTGTGAGGGCTTCTATGTTTTCTTTTTGGGACAATAAAAAGCATGTAACTTAAGAAAGGGCTTAACCACCATCAGTAGGGTTGTACATCCCTGACAAAAACAAAGTGAATGTATCAAAAAACAGACTCAGGGAAGCAGTATCCAGGATCATCCCACAGTGACCTCAAAACACAAAGAGGAACTACACTTGGAAGTGAGTTCTCAGCGAGTTGCCCAACACTGTGGGCAACAAAACACGTGTACAAAGTGTTTTAGGACAGCAGTTATACTACTGGCCTCGAGAGAACATAACTGGTCTCTTCCAGTCATGCCATATTTCTGGAAAAATGAAAATTAACGTATACAAATAAGACAGAAGATATCAATGCTTCTTAAGATGCTTCTCCTGCCCTATAACATTTGCTAAGGAAATGTTCACATCGAGAAAAGACGTGGCCACATTCACTTGAAAGCCTGGCTCATTGTGACACAGCCTTTATATACTGAACAGCCATTAGCTGCAGCCAAACCACCAAATTTTAGTACCTGCTTATTCATAGATTTTGACTTTCACAGTTTTACTTGACGTCTATTTTTGTACAGGTCACACAGAAAGTTACTGCAGATCTGCAAAAAGAATTTGATCCAACAATTTTCTGATCCAAAAAGTAGCTGCCATTGTACAGCTGAAACTTCTCCACATGAGAACTTATGACATGGATTTAAAATAAGATTTTAATTTTTTTGTTTTACCTTTTGAAACTGGAAACTCATATCAGCGTTAAGAAACAGCACATTGAAAACTCAAATCATTCTTATTTACACTGACTCGTTTAAAATTGTGATAGATGAGAGGATTAAGAACAGCCATGTTCTGCACTGAAAAAAAATCATTGCCTACTAAAAACCTGAGAGTTTGCTTAAAAGCTGCTGTTAATTTTCCTCTTAACTGAACTGTAAATCTTCTCTACTCTACATTTACAATTATTTGTCCACAGAAGTCGTAACACTCCATTTCCCATCCCATGATTCTGATTTTTCTGTTATGGTTATCAAAATGTCTATGTTTCATTTAAGAGAGGAAGAGGAGAGGACAGGGCAACTAGTCCCAAGAAATCCAACATCTGTTTTGCCAGCCCTCCTCAATACAGAAATTCTTTGGATTAACATTCCAAAGGATTTTGTTAAAAAGAAAGAAGTATGAGAACAGCTGTAATACAGAAAACAAGATGTGTGATACAAACATCTCTGATCCCTCTAAGATACAATACATTTTTTTTCTTCCTCCTTATACTCTATTAAATACTCAGGATAAATCTGGTATTTTTCAAAGACAACAAAAATGGAGGGATTTAACTCATTGTCCACACAGCTGTCATAAAACCGAAGCCCACACCTAGACTTAGATGGGGGGCGAACATAGGATGCATCACCTTTAACATAATCTCCAACCAATACGCGAGCCACGAACATGATATTTGTTTTCACTGCAGGCTGACAGTATGCGTGGGAATAGGAAGCATCTCTAGCAAAGTAACTTCCTAGAAAATGAGAGGAAAACGTGGTTACAAGGAATATGTAAAAAGGGACAGTGAAAACTGAGCATCCCCTTGTTTTTCAGGAGGTATTTGACTCAACTTTCAGGTCTCCTATTACTCAGTTTACATAATACCATAGGAATTTTTACAACAGAAAGGGTTTCACCACAGAATTTCCATTCAGAATTTACTATTTTAGGGATAATTTTTAAAAGACCAAAACATATAAGAACACTACAGGTATGTGTGTTATGATGAGAGCAATAGAGAAGAACACATGAGGACCTTCCACGATCATACTTAAGGAATGCACACCCTTCTTGCTCCCTACTGTGAAGACTAGCAGCCATTTCTTTGGGAAGGTCAAATTATGACTTGGAGCCTTCAGAAGATCTCACTTACCGCAACAGAGGCTTTTTCAAATTCCTACATTAACACATTGTGAAAAGACTTAACCCTCGCACAAAGCAACTTGTCCTCCCCAGAAGGAAGGAAGATCATAATACCAATTCCTACCTCTTTTTTTTCAGCCTCTATAGTTAAAGACTTCAAAACTTTGATTGCTGTAGTATCAGGGGAGTCTTAAGTAGACATCTAACACACAGAGTCACTTCCTACGTACCCTTTCCATAGCAAGTTCCATTGCTTCCACAAATTCTCCAGTCAAAGTTGTGAGTACAAATGGCTTCCACATGGGAACTGCTGGTTCCATGGAACAGGAGCTTTTCCTTTACTTCCTTACCTCCATTTTCCCTTTTCATCTGTTCCTTTTGCCTAACAGAAAAATGCAGGAGAGGAGACTGTGAGCCATGGAAGAAGAGGGAGAAAGTGTTTTAAAAGAAAAAGTATATAATGCACATGTAAATATCAGCTGGATGAGATTTCCAGGCTGCTTCCTCCTCTCTCAGCTTGGAAGATGAGACAGACTAGCACTATGATGAACAATTACAACATGAGCAATATACTGATACCGTTGCCCAGCAATTATAGATAATTGAGGCTTTTTTCAGTGAATTTAAGCAAGGATTGACACTATCATAGTCCTCACTGTACCAACCTTTTGCTCTTCTGTAGGGTCCTATTACTTCTGCTTTAATGTCTCTTGTCCCTTCCTGCCACCAAACTCTCAGGGGAGTGGAGGTTGTACCAGCTGCAGAGCCTCCATGCTCCAGCAGTGGGTAAAAGCTAGAGGCAGCTTGTTCTTTATTTCCCTTGTGAACCAAAACTGCCAGATACCCCGAGCTCCTGCCCCTCAGTGGGATCAGTGCAGCTGAGTAGACAGAGCTGGAAGGAGGGAAACTGCGCTTGCTTTCACCACCGAAGACCTTACTGATTTAGGCCAGCCTGAGCTGTGACCAGTATGAAAAGAGGAATCACAGCAGAAGGCCCAACTGGTATTTCCCATCACTATTTGACAGCATTCAGACACCCCACGGGTTTTCAAAAGCTGTGGAAGTGGACAAGACAGTAATATTCTTCAGGAAGTGAACAGCTACAAAGCAAACAGAGCCAAGGAGAGGGGAGAATCGTTCCAACTTGTAAACTGTGTAAATGAAAAGGTAAGAGCAATGGACTGAAATCTGTTGAGAACTTGGCCATGTTAAACACTGCCTGGTTAGCTTAATTATCTCACTGGAGGAGGATAAAAAGAAGGAGTATGCGCTATTACGTGTTTTGAAGTGTCTTCGGTTTTGCTAGATGACAAGGTTTTATGAAATTATTAGCTGATGACTTCCTGGGTGCAGTCACTTCGCAGGTGAAAGTACTTACTGGAGCAGTGTTTTTCTTCTCCATTACCCTTCCATGTGGTGCTTGAATACTTCTGTTAAGTATCGGTGCTTTTTATTTAAACTGGACAAACTTTCTAGGCAACAGCCTAAACTGCTACCAAATTAACCTGAACATGGTCATTTATTGCCACTGGCACCAGCACAAATCTGTTGGTATCTCACTTGGTGTAAGTACCTGGAGTTCAACAACACTGATGCAGATGTTGAAAGCCAGAAAGGAGCTCTGGAACTCAGAGATTGTTAAATTAAACCATAAGGATTCTTTCTCAGTGAATATGGACTTCATTCAGCAAAGGTACTCAAAATCTTGAAGAAGCCTTAAATAAATGTGAATGGGGGTAAAAAAAAAAAAATAAAAGGCCCAAGCACCCTTTACTCTTACCCACTTCTTTCTTAGGAAGTATTTCATACACTCTAATGGATAAACATCTGCAACAGACAGAATGCAAGTGCAGCAGGCAGTTACTGTCCAATCCCTGAGACAATACACAATTCCACATCACTGTGGGTGTCCTCATACCAATTTTGCGTCATTTGTGTCTTTCTGTCCATACCCCTCCCCGATCTTCCAAGGAGCCATGCAAAGGGAACTGCCCCCCAGGAGCATGGCATTCTCTGAAAGACCTTAGACACTTAATTTCACTCTTGAAACTGCCTCCAAGAAGGAAATGCCAGTCACATTAAAGCACAGGTGGCAACGTCTTTCCTTTCCTAGGATGAAGATACAGAACACCAGCTCTTGGAGACTCCCTCCCCTTAAGGATGAGAAAACAAATACTAACCACTGAAACACTTTCCAGAGGGATGGATTCTGAATTCTCTGTATTTTAGAGACACTGTAGTTTCTCATAGTCTGAAGGAACAGCTGCTTTATTTTGTCATATTCAGGAGTTTTGTTACTGATCTCCACTGCCTATAAAATATAAACCAAAGCAGAAGAAGACAGGAAGCTTTGGTTAGCTCATAACACGCAGAAGCCTAATTACAGCAGACATGCTTTCAGAAGGGTCCCCAAACTATACTTGTGAAGGTTATTTTAATGCTTTAGATTGTGACTATGTGAATAATTAGGTCAGATACTTAACATGTAAATCAGTATGTCACTCCTGCCCTGCAAGGAAAACTCACCTCTCTTCAGGAAGAATGCTGAAAGCGAAAGGATCAGTTAAATGTTTCTCATCTCCAAGTAAGAGTCAATGAAAGAGTAATTTCAAAAAGAAAACCTGACTGATTATTCTAGACAATATTAGTTTTATATACAAACCTGATTAAGAACAAAAGATGTTAGAAAACAGTATCATCTGTAACCAGACATTTAAGGGAGCTTCATCTATTAAAGATGAAACAAAATATATACAACCTCTCAGCATCATAGCTCTTAACTTCTCAAAGTTAAAACTTGGAAAGTTGCACTTAAATATAGACTTAAGGAAAAAATGGTACATTTCTAAACATAAGAGAACAATTAAGATTCTAATAGGAATGTTACACTAAATACCTGCTTAAGAATCATAGAATGGTTTGGGTTGGAAGGGACCTTAAATGTCATCTAGTTCCAACCCCCCAGCCATGGGCAGGGACACCTCCCACTAGACCAGGTTGCTCAAAGCCTCATCCAGCCTGGCCTTGAACCCCTCCAGGGATGGGGCATCCACAGCTTCCCTGGGCAACCTGTTCAGTGCCTCACCACCCTCACAGTGAAAATTTTTTTCCTAATGTCTAATCTAAATCTGCCCCTCTTTCAGCTTAAAACTGTTACCCCTTGTCCTGTCACTACACTCCCTGATAAAGAGTGCCTCCCCCCGTCTCCTGTAAACCCCCCTTTAAGTACTGTAAGGCTGCTATTAGGTCCCCTTGGAGCCTTCTCTTCTCCAGGCTGAACAACCCCAACTCTCTCAGCCTGTTCTTGTATGGAAGGTGCTCCAACCCTCTGACCATCTTCATGGACCTGTTGGAGTGAATCCAAAGGAGGGCCATGTCCTTCCTGTGCTGAGGACTCCAGAGCTAGATGCAGTACTCCAGGTGGGGTCTCATGAGAGTGGAGTAGAGGGGGGAGAATCACCTCCCTGGACCTGCTGGCCATGCAGGTCCTAAAGGAAACAAAATCTATTTATCCAGACTTTTTGTGTTTAAAAATCCATCAAGAAATGCACATTTTTCGCAAACAAAAGTTAAGGTAAAACGTAACTGAAACATGATTTGAGCTCTTCTGCTTGTCATGCATAAATTTTCCAATTTTCTCTCGAAACTAATCTGCATCTTTGATCTTCTAGAATGAACACTTCTCTTCTGTAAACTAGACTGAAAATGCATAATGCTGGACGACTGATGCCACTTGGTAATAATTTCCACTTTACCACTGCCTAGGTCAAGTGGGAACTCAAGATGTCTTAAAGTGAAATGCCCAACCTTCCACATATCAAAGTTGTGTTTTAAGCAGGAAAGCTGTGGTCATCCTGGGACATAACATGAAATCACCATCTTAAGCTGTCAGGCAAAAGCCCCACATTTTAGAAGGCTGAGTTGAGAGAGGAGATAAAATAGGACTTGCATTTCACAGCTGCATATAAATAAAGAAGTGTTTTTCTGGACACCATATCTAGCTTGCACATTAAATATTTACTGAAGAAGAGGCCTATCATAGGAAAGTTTTCTAAGGATTAAGAATAAAGTCAGCTGCACAAGGAAGAATTATTTCTTTGAATTTATTAAAAAGCTTTTACAAGGTTGAATGAAATTTCCCATGTCTTAACAAGAATATTTTGCAAAGCCTCTTTACAACACAACACATAAAACAATTTGAGTGGGAAAATATTTATTATCTGTATGCTCTGGGACACCACAGCTCAAGTGGCTCACCATCACCTACAAGATGAAAATTATGCCACTGTATTTCAGTACTGTATCTTTTATTTATACATAAGCAATTCTTATTTAGACTACAACTATGCTTTTTCTACCTTGCATCTTTACAGAGGAACTGTAACCTTTCCAGGTAAAACAGAGGGTCAGCTGCATGGTACAAGGCCAAACCCTGTAAGAAAGGCTCTTCAATTATTTAATCATATTTCAATTATTTTATCATATGATGGCCTCCAAGCAACAAAGCCAGATCTCTTTTGCATAAAAACTTAGTGAGATTGTCCTTATTTCCCCAAAGACACCTCCCCTGCTAATAAAGGGTAACACCGCATTGCTATTGCAGGTTGATACTTCATAGCAACGTAACTTCTTTAGCTCTTCATCTTCAGACCTAAAAAGGAAAAGCCTAGAAATGATAAGGTGTTTTTTTTGTTTTGTTTTGTTTTTTTTAGTGTATGACTGCACAAGAACAGCACCCTGTGATATCAAACCTTGGTCTCTGGTTAACTTAGGTTTTAGAAGCAGCATAATTTGTATTAGTGACAGTGACCTAGAACTAATGTTTATTAAGTACACACTCTTCATGTTGCACAAGCTCCCATTCCTCTAACAGCACAGCAATCTTTGGTATGTGTGTCAGGACTCAGCAACACAGCAGCCACACAAAGACCAACCCTCTGACATAGAACCACACATTTGCTGCACATATTCCTCAGCTGTACATTAAAGATACAATTTAAGACCCAGCATGAAGTTCCAAGACACTATCAATTTTTTTTTTTCCATTAAAAGGTTTACCAGCTCCTAATTTCACTTTGTCTGTTAAACAAAGAAGAAATTCACACTGACTTTCCAATTGGTGTTATCAATTTCCACTGGCACTTCATATGCTCTACTTTCTATAGAACTACAATACTAAATGATTTACAGATTAAGACACAGCAACACTCAAAAAATAAGCAATGTTACCAAAACAGAGCTGCTCTTTTTAAGCAAAGATTACTTTCTCCCTATCTCATATAGGTGTTCCTTTTTAAAATGGATCACTTCCAGCCCAGCAAATTTTGCCAGGATTATTTGCCAATGTCTGAAGAGAAGGGAATTCAACAAGTCACAACTGTCAGATCTTACCTTCTAAATTCTCAGTTAAGCAGTATGCTCCTCTGAATTGTGCCTTTCCACCAGAATCACGAGGAAAAAAGAAAAAGAAAAAAAAAGGGAAAACAACAAAAAAAAAGATACCTTGTATCCCAGATCAGGCAGTGCAGATGGATCCCAGTGGATAGGACAGGTTTGATTCGGAATAGAAGAATCCCTCTGGCTGTTTGCAAACAGACATAAAAAGAGGTGTTAGCAATTCTAGTCCTGCTCTGAACATTCAAATTGGCATCATCCCCTTTGTCAAATTCCTACATTTAAAAATAAACCACAAAGAAACTGCGAAACAGCCTCACTCTGTGAGCTGGGTTTTGCATCCTGTCATTCAATTGTCACAGTGCTCTTTCACTTGCTTCTTTAAGAAACAACTGTCCATCACCAGTCCTGTGGATGTTGTACCTGGAGTAACATGTATCCCAGAAACCAGGTGATAGACCAAGCCGGCACTTTGTGATATAGCTTCTTTTCAGTCAAATGGAGATGTTTTTTCCTAGCAACAGCTGCATGCTTTACACCATTACTGCCAGCACTGTCAGCCATTTTGCCTTATAATTACTTCTGAAATATGAAAAAACCAACAACTTAAAGAGCATCATTTACCCTTTCTTTATCTTCTGCACATCTTCAGCAGACACAAACTTTGGTCGCCGGCAGACCCGTCTTCGAGTTTTAAACACGATGTTTGTCTGGGTCATTTCTTTAGGAGAAAAAGAGAAGGAAAAAAGAAAAAGTCATAAATAAGCCTACAAGATGGGGTCATTAATTAATGACAGTCATTCATTAATGAAAAGTGCATATTCATTGTCAATTCTATCTGCTGAAGAATAGTTGCACAAAGCCCATGAAAGCTTCTTGTCCTTCCTGTAACTCTGTTATTTAACCGGTGCCTATCTTGCTTGCTCCCTTAAGTCATTCATGCTCTTTAAATGTTGCTCCAGCAGCACAGAAGTATGCTTAATTTTTCATTTTTACTATCCACAGGGTTAGCTCACTTTATTTATGGTTTACTATGACTTTATGTGAAGACTAAAAATCTTTTTATTTCTTGTCCAATGAGAGTTTGGATAGTGTCAAGGAATAAGGGGGAAGGTTACTTTTGTAAGGAACTTCCTCTGTGCCATCACTACCTCACACCCCCTTCCAATGAGTAAATCTGGTAACATCAGTAAAAGAACTCATGGCTTCTGAAAGCTGGGATAGCTTGCAAGTTAGTCTTTGTAAAGCACTGCATAGTTGTAAATGAGAACCTTTAAAATAAGTACCTTTAAAATTGAGCTGGTAATGATTCAAGCCAGCCTGGAAAGATATGGTAGCATCTGGATCTGCTAGATACGAATTCTCAATAATATCAGAAGATGGTGACTTCACACTATCCCCTTCTCCCTGGGGGTTAGGAGGAGAAAAAAAAAAAAAGATATAAGAGTAATGAGTAAGCACAGTCAGGTCTAAACCCTGGATAACTAGTTTGGGTAGAGGAAAAGAAGAGGTGAAGAGTAGGATGAAGAGGAATCTACCCAGAACTACCATGGCCTTAAGTGCGATTACCAAATGCTCATAACATACACAAATACATAATTAGTAATGAGGGACACACGTGTATCCCATTTAAATTTCTGTAACAAGTTGTACTGGTTTGGGCTGGGACAGAGTTAAATTTCTTCATGGTAGCCGGTATGGGGCTATGTTTTGGATTTGTGCTGGAAACAGTGTTAATACCACAGGGACGTTTTGGTTATTGCTGAGCAGTGCTCACACAGGGTCAAGGCCTTTTCTGCTTCTCACACCGCCCTGACAACAAGCAGGCTGGGGGCACACAAGAAGTTGGGAGGGGACACCGCTGGAACAGCTGTCCCCAACTGGACAAAGGGATATTCCATACCATATGATGTCATGCTCAGCATATAAAGTTGGGGGGAAGAAGGAGGACGCTGTTTCTCTTCCCAAGAAACCATTACGCGTGATGGAGCCCAGCTTTCCTGGAGATGGCTGAACAACTGCCTGCCAATGGGAAGTAGTGACCAAATTCCTTGTTTTGCTTTGCTTGTGTGTGTGGCTTTTGCTTTACCTATTAAACTGTCTTTATCTCAAGACACGAGTTTTCTCATTTCTACCCTTCTGATTCTCTCCCCCATTCCACTGTGGGGGAGTGAGTGAGCAGCTGTTTGGGGCTTATTACTGGCCAAGTGTGATAGATGTGCTTGACTCCTTGACTAAACTAGTGTTAATTTGGTTCAGGCTCCAAAGGAAGTAAAGGCCCTAGGCCATGCCTGGCCATGAACTTCCGTAGTTCCAACCTATTCTCTGAAAACCTGCACAGGAACAGGGTGACACGGTGAGCATTGATGCGTATGAGCTTGGAGACTGGAACACCAATCATGCAACTAACCTGTGAATGGCAGGTGGTTCTTCCAAGACTAATTTGTCAAGGAACAAAGCAAGTTGTGGGTATAAGGAGTCTCACGCTTACCTTTTCATTGCATGTAATTTGACTACAAGACAACCACTTTATTCCATAAATACAACAGTCTGAGCTTTTTTTGAGCTCTCCCTGCTAGGAAGCAGGCTGCACAGCAGTGATGTCCCCTTGAGCTGGGATGCTTCTCAAGGTCTTTGAGGCTGAGAGATCCCTTACCAACTGCAGATCTTTGGTAAGTGACCAATATTACACATAACCTTGTATTACAGTGTACTAAGATTTTGTATTGGTAACTTTGAATTATTATTATAACCTCTGTGCAGTAAGTGTGAACCTTGCCATCAGACTTTGGTAAGTCTCACTTTTACAACATCCTACTTCAATAAAACTACTTTTGCTGCTACCTTTGGCAGTGGTTCTTTCAACAGTCTAAAATCTCCCCCACAACAAACTGGCATAGTCAGCAGATTCTAAATCTGCTCCATAACACTAGGGTTAAATCATGACGCAAGCATAACGTACAAAACAATGTAAAATATGAGAGTATGCTGATGGAAATATTTTGCATTTAAGCTGCCTGCTGAAATCAAGGCCCACCATTATGAGAGTCACTACATCCATCATCTTCTCCTGCCTACTTTTCCATGTCCCTGGATCACTTTTGTGTTCTGCCACTTGTGCAGCTACACTGTAAACCAGATGGGGAAAACTCATCTGCCTTGGGGGAAGGAGAGATTCCTGATTTATTTCTTTTCCTGCATTTTTCAGATAGATCACTCTCTCATCAAATATGACGTGGCCACCCAAGGAAAAAGGTAACATTTGATCTGAGAGAGCAAAGCAATCCTTGCATGTTCAAGGAAGCAGGACAATGCTCAGAAGAGAGGCAAGACTACTTCCTGAATAATTTAAAAGGCAATACATCTCAAGGACAGTTTATATATGTTAAATCTGCATAAAAGCCATGGACAACTCCAAAAAGGAGACTGACTAGAGAAACCAGCATGCATCATCAAAAACTGTCTGATCAACATAAACTGAGAAAAAAGAATTTTGCTTTCCTGCATTTGCCAACAAGGTCTTTGTCAGGAAAGCAGTTATAACAAATCATCCAAAGAGAAAGACAGACGATTGTTCATACTGAACCTCACTGCAAGGAGATGAGGTGTGTTCCCTCCCCTCCAGCCTGTCATCATTTTATCACATCTGTTATGAACATCTGTAGCCTCACTGCCTTCCTTGACACTGTAAAATTCCAGCACAAGCACTTACTTGAGTAAAAGAGAAAGGGGGGGAAGAGGCTCCACACATTTCTTCAGAAGTGATTCAAAGCACAGGATGTGGACTCACCTGTTCTCCATATTCAATCCACTGGCCTTGGTCATTCTTCCAATACCAAATCCACTGTGTAGTCAATGCAAATGTGGGTTTTGTGACTGATGATGGTGTAGAGAGGCGCCGAAGTGAAGAAGAGGAGCAGGTCATTGTCTGGAAATTAATGTTCTTATCTGCTATGCTGTAAGGACAAGTTCAGGTTTATTACAGTTAACAGTATATATTTTATCCTCTAATCCCCGGTTTAAGATGTTGCAATTTTCTTTAATCTAATGTGACTGCCCGAACTTAATTAGTCCTGAAGTAAGAGTATTTCCCACAGCATGCATGGCAGCTCTGAAAACTGTTTCCAGTCTTCAGAAGCGAACTACGGCCTGCGAGACACTGAATGCCATCTCATTCCCTAGCCAGATGTTGCACTACCAGCTTTACAAACAGTCTGGGGCTACATGTACAATGTGGCAAAAGGCATTTCTGCAATCAGTAAGCAAGGTTACAGTTTTTCAGAGTCCAAAAATAGAAGTTGGTAAGTAGGGGACTGAGTTTGCCAGCAAACACTTGCAGCTTATCAACTTTGTTCTTTTTCTCTGGTTACAGAGGATGCAATCATAGCTGTGAGTTCTGTAAATAGCACTCATCACTGGAGCCACCTGGGCTCTTACTCCTAGGAGGCTCAAAAAATTAACTCTCAGGCAGAAAGACTTTGAAAGCAGCCTCTTCTTTGGAATCTTGCTTGTGATTTGCACCATCTAGCAGCCTAGTCAAGCTGCAAATCAAAATCATCTGCTGTCTGAAGAGGCATGAGCCAAAATGATCATACCATTTTACTGAGGTCAAACTTCACAGAATCACAGAATCACAGA